ACCCAAGGACAAAATATTAGGGCTTGCCCTTTCTTTTGGATTTACAGCTTCCTTAAAACTAGACCTGCCAGTTTCCTGTTGCCACTCCTGTGGCTGGTGGGAGAAATCTAATGTATAAACAAAGTTGCTGACTAACGAGGTGACATCACTTCTGGGGAAAACCCTGCTCTAGGAATCGCCAGAAATTCTATGGTTTTACTACAGAGTTTCCAGCAATTCCTAGAAAGGTGTGACATCACTTCTGGGTTTTCCTCGGAAGTGATATCACACCATTGCCTGATGGCACCCCCATGCCCCCCCCCAACTCCCACTGGTTGCCAGCAGTGTTCCCTCTAAGCTGAGTGAGTGTGAGCTAGCTCACAGTTTTTTAGCCTCCGGCTCACAGATTTTTGTTTTAGTTCAGGAAGGATGGATCCAGAGCAAACTAATTTATTCAGTAGTCAAATCACTTGCTCACAACTTTAATGCCAGTAGCTCACAAAGTAGCATTTTTGCTCACAAGACTCCACAGCTTAGAGGGAACATTGGTTGCCAGCTACCTTACTTAAAGCTGACCTGAGTGCACAAGGGAAAACGAGCTAAAGAAAAACTCTTTTATTCTGCAGGGGGGGAAAAGACTAGGAACTATTTTAGTAATGTTACATTACTAGGCTACGAAGGAGGGACAAGCTCTGCAAACAAAGATGGTTTCAGACAGTTAACTTTATGATAGAAGAACATGTTTCATCATCTACATGAGATGCTGCCTTGAGGGTCACAATTCTAAATATGTGTTGGAGGAATTTGGGGAGCAGGGAGCCAGATGTATTTCCCACCACCATGCAACTGCAAGCATTATTCTTGAGGTGCAGAAAATGCAAAACTTGTGTGAAATTGCCTTAATGAAGCTCCACTGAAGCAGCACACAGGTGTTCTATATGAAATCATCAAGAAAGTTGCGCGAAAGTTTTTTAATCATGTGGCTTGAAATCCATCAGCTGGTTGATGGCAAACAAAAATATTGTACTCTCCCCAACTCCAGCAATATAAACACAACAAGCCATTAAAACAAGCCTGGAACATAAGCAGCATAAACCTACCCATAAAACAATGCTCAGACCAGAAGTAGACCAGTAAAAATGTTGGAAAGAAAAAAAAAATCCCTAAGTAAAAGCCTAGGTAGAAAGATGTTTTAGCATGGTGCCTCAACAACAGTAAAGTAGGTGCCAGGCGAACCTCAGGTGGGAGGGTGTTCCAAAAGCAAGGTGCCACCACAAAAAATATCCTGCCTCTAGTCACCAGGTGTCTCATATCCAGGGGCCATTTCCTGCGGGAGCGCACAGGAGCGGAGCTCCGGCAGTAAGGAGCCCGGGGGGGCGGGCACTTGCAATAAGCCCCGCCCCACTGCTGCCAGCAGTCCTCAGTTGGGCCATGAGAGCAAGAAGCAGCCAGGTAAGTTGCAGAGCCCCCCCCCTCCTAGCCTGCCTTCAGGCACAAGCTCTCCCTCCTCTGTAAGGGCAGATCTGCGTGTCCCCCCCCCCTCATAGCAAGCAATCCAAAACAGTCCAGTGGCACCTTTAAGACCAAGTTTTATTCAAGTACAAGCTCTCCCTCCTCTGTGAGGACAGATCTGCATGTCCCCCCCCCCGCACTCCAATAGATAACAATCCAAAACAGTCCAGTGGAGCCTGAGCGGTGGATGTTGCCTTCTGACACGCTTCCGGTGATGTCAGGGGGTGTGGCATATGCAAATGAGTTATGCTAATGAGTTCCTGCATCTCTTTTTCTACGAAATGACCCCTGCTCATATCTGAAAAGATCAGAGAGCACGGCTTTGGAGGCAGATCTTCACTGGCGGGTTGGATAGCATGGGAGGAGAAAATCCTTCAGGTACCCTGGTCCCAAGCTGTCCTTTCCTGAAACCTCAAGAAAACCTCTCCAACTTGAACTTCATTTGCCATCACGTTTTTTGACTTTCAGGTAGTCTTGAAGCAGGGTTAGCTTGATGACGAACGTCTCATAAACACAACTCATCTGCTGTGCTCTAGAACAGTTCTGATGTGCATAATATTACGCGTGGATTGCCCGTAGCTATTATATTTTCAGGATACTTTGGCATCCCTTGAGATTCAGAAAACTCTTTTAACAACAAAAATGGAACCTGTGCACTTTGGAGTTGTTGCGGGCCCCAATGAAATTTCAAGGAACACCAAAGTAACTGGGCGATACAAGATGTCACAACATTGCGGACAGATAATATACATTACAAACAAAGTCTATTGGCTGGTGTCCAAATGAACTAGCAGGGATTTGATGCTATGAAGAATGTTCCTTCTCCGTTTCCACTAAATCTAAAGTCTGCAATGCTTCCCCTTCTCCCCAACATTTAATGTTTTCCAGTATAAGCAGATACAAGGCCAAATAATTTTTTAAAAGGAGTTACAAGGAAGCAATAGCTATATTTAACTTATTCATTAATGATTTGGAGTTGGGAGTAAGCAGTGAAGTGGCTAAATTTCCGGATGATACGAAGTTGTTCAGGGTGGTGAAAACCAGTGAGGATTGTGAGGCACTCCAAAGGGATCTGTCAAGGATGGGCAAGTGGGTGTCAACATGGCAAATGGGGTTCAATGTGGCCAAGTGCAAGGTGATGCACATTGGAGCCAAAAATCCTAAATATAAATACACATTGATGGGGTCTGAACTGGCAGAGGCTGATCAAGAGAGAGATCTTGGAGTTGTAGTAGATAACTCACTGAAAATGTCGAGACAGTGTGTGACTGCAATAAAGAAGGCCAATGCTATGCTGGGGATTATTAGGAAGGGTATTGAAAACAGATCAGCCAATATCATAATGCCCCTATATAAATCAATGGTGCAACCTCATTTGGAATACTGTGTGCAGTTCTGGTCACCACACTTTAAAAAGGATATTATAGCTTTGGAAAAAGTGCAGAAAAGGGCAACTCGAATGATAAAAGGGTTGGAACACTTTCCCTATGAGGAAAGGTTAAAGCGCTTAGGGCTCTTTAGCTTGGAGAAACGATGACTGAGGGGTAACATGATCGAGGTTTATAAGATTATGCATGGGAAAGAGCAGGTCGAGAAAGAGGTACTTTTCTCCCTTTCTCACAATACGAGAACTCGTGGGCACTTAATGAAATTGCTGAGCAGTCGGGTTAGTACTTTTTCACCCAAAGAGTGATTAACACTTGGAATTCACTGCCACAGGAAGTGGTGGCGGCTACAAGCATGGACGGCTTCAAAAGGGAATTAGATAAGCATATGGAGCAGAGGTCCATCAGTGGCTATTAGCCCACAAGGTATAGTGGGGCAAGTGATGCTCTGTCTTCTTGGTGCTTGGGGGGGAGCAAATGTGGGAGGGCTTCTAGTGTCCTGGCCCCACTGCTGGACCTCCTTTTTTAAAAAATATATTTTATTTGTTTTTAAATAATCATTAACAACACTCTTACCTTGATTTTGCTGGCAGCGGCCTGCTTGGCCATAGCTACCACCTGGAAGTCACTGGTGGACTTCCTGATGGCACTTGGTATTTCTGGTCACTGTGTGACACAGAGTGTTGGACTGGATGGGCCTTTGGCCTGATCCAACATTGGCGTCTCTTATGTTCTTATATTAAGGGCTCATTCCAAACATCTAGAAGTGCCTTCATCTTGTTGAAAACAAGGAGCATCAGCTGGATGCCACAGTACTAAGAGAGATTCATTATATCAAAATGGCTCGATGTTGCAAGATCTTAGGACAACCAACATGCATGTAGTTCAGGGTGAACGACATCACTCAATGGCTGCTTTCCTATATTTGCTGGAAGGGAATAGGTGTAAATACAGCATCTGTTGTGTATTGAAAACTATGTTAAACGTGAGTTCTGAACTAGGATTGTAAATAGACCAATCAGAGCTGCGCAAGATTCTGGAGGGAGGCACTCTGATTGGACCTTATCTGTAAATAGTGATTGGTTGTTAACTGAATTGGTGGGCGTGGCTACCTAAGCCTGGAATGTTTAAAAGAGAGCCTGTTGCTCTATGTTTTTGTCTCGTTTTTGATTTCTTCTGACTTTGTTAATAAAGCTGATTCACTGTTCACTAGCTATGCTGAGCCTCGTACTTAACAGCATCAAAGCAAGCCCATGTTTGTACCGGTTTACAATACTATCACTGCCCACTGACTTCAACGGGCTTAGAATGGAGGAACTCTGTTTTAAAATAGTTCAGGACAGAACGAGACAGTGGATTATACCACTGTGTATAAGATGTATCGGGGAGGGAAGGCAGCACAGCATAGCCTGATCTTGTCAGATCTCGGAAGCTCAGCAGGGTCAGTACTTGGATGGGAGACCACCAAGGAAGGCTCTGCAGAAGAAGGCAATGGCAAACCAACTCTGCTTCTCACTTGCCTTGAAAGCCCCTTGCTGAGGCCGGTACTTGGATGGGAGACCACCAAGGAAGACTCTGCAGAAGAAGGCAATGGCAAACCAACTCTGCTTCTCAGTTGCCTTGAAAGCCCCTTGCTGAGGTCGGTACTTGGATGGGAGACCACCAAGGAAGACTCTGCAGAAGAAGGCAATGGCAAACCAACTCTCTTTTCACAGCCCTTGAGAGCCTCTTGCTGGGGTCACCATAAATTGGTTGTGACTTGAAGCACTTACATGCGTGCATATAGGACATATCAGTTTGCTGTACGTATTACCCTGCTATTATTTTTCCTACTCATCAAACACCATTTTTCGTCATTATAGCCTCATTCTGTCTCATGGATAACATCCTATGCACATTTGGATTCCCATAAACCTAGTCTGAGTACATTACTCATTCGATACTGTATCAACCTACCCTGTGCTTATTAGGCATCTCTTCGTATGGGCTGTTATCGATTTACACCGTGTAATCAGGTTTGAGTCTCCGAGAGAAATGCGGATGATAAATACAGTAAACAGAAATAAATAAAAGTCTCCACTGTAATAAGACACTGCTGTGAAAAGAAGGAAGAACAGTTCCTACCATATGCAGCCCATTGCTTTGGATGACGCCATCTTGCTCTAGCAGGTTTCGCGATATCGTAATGGAGGGAAGGTCCAAGCTCTGTGGCGGAAACTGGGGAGTGAATTCATTCCCCTGCATGACTAACTGGTCACTTAAGCCTTGGAAAGGTAGGAGTATGTCTGCCATTCCTAGATTGGTGGAATCTAGCTCAGGAGGTGGCGTTATGGGTGGAATTTCAAACTCTTCATCTCCAAGACTTGGGGTATGGAATGTTTGCTAAAGAAAAAGAGAGAGAGAAATAAATAAGATCAACTCACTTGCACTGAAGCACTATTAAATAGTCCAGTATGCATAATAAAAGGGACTCTCTATATCCTGTACGATTTCGCACACAAACAATTAGTTTTTGTACATCACAAGTGTAGCAAGATTCACATATGCCCAACTTTATGGATCCTTCAGATTAAAGATTTAAGTCTCATTATCATATGGCTTTAATGGTGTATCAGTATTAACTGTTTTTTAATGCACTCTTAATTAGCAACATCTGTCTTTGTTGTTAGAGTGAACATCAGCTACATTGGGGTTTGGGGCTTTTTGGTGGGTTTTTTTGGCCGTATAACAAATTGCCAGTTTATTGATAACGTTAGTAAAAAACAGCACAAAGAGTCTACACATTATTCGGGTGCTTTAATAAAACGCTGACAATTTCAGCAGTACACACACACAACATTAATCCGGCAGTGAATACTTCAGAACTCTTTTACAACCCATAAATGTGAAATATTAGAATCCAGTTTCTAAGTTCTCTCTGACTCCTCCTAGGAAACATAATGGACTTTTGATACGAAAGGTGGTCGTTAGGAACCCAGGTATTTATAGGGCAATGGTTTATCATGGAAGGTTTATGGTTGGGGCCACAAGGAGTATGTGTGGGAACAGCAGATGTGTTAAGAAATAAAACCTACTAAAATACTTTGACCCAAGAGGCCATTATTTCTAGATACATACAGGGCTTCTACATGCAAGCTCCAAGATATTCAAGCTTAATGGAAGGCTGCCTGGTATAGTGGTTAGCGTTTCGGAGCAGGTTCTGAGAGACCCGGGCTTGAATCCCCACTGTTCACAGAAGTTGGCTGAGTGACCTTGAGCCAGATACACACTCTCAGCCTAACCTACCTCAGAGGGTTGTTGTGAGAATAAAATGGAGCAGGAGAGAACAACACAAGCCAGTCTGGGTCCTGATGGCATAGAAAGGCAGAGAATACAGGAGGGAAGGAGGGAAGGAGGGAAGGAGGGAAGGACAGGGAAAAGGAAGGAAGGAAGGAA